GCTAACCCAGCCCAAGCAAGCAGGGCCTCTTCCTGCGCGCGGGGCTTGGGCAGCTCGGGGGCCACACTGGCGACTAAGCAGGCGCCGGAGCACCCGGGGCGCCGCCGCGACTCGAGGCCGGAGCGTGGGCCGGCGCGAGGCGGCCGCCGCCCGCGAGAGCTGCCCTTTACCTCTCCGGCTGCCATCCATGCTCCGTCTTCTTGCAGCCGCCGTGGGGACACGCTGAGTCCCCTTCGGTTCTTCCACCGGCCGGGCCCAGCCCAGGCAGTGCAGGATTGGAAAGGAGGAGCGGGCGGGAGGCCGCAGGGACCCGGAGATGGTCGCCAGGCCGGTTGCTAAGGGCCGGCGTCACGGCGTCGGCTTGTGGCGTCACGGCGCAGGGGGCGTGCGCTCCCGTAGCCCCGCCCCCGGGAGCAGCCAGCGGGAGGGGAGAGCTGGTGCGGATGGAGGCGGCGGGCGGGGGAAGTTCCCGGGGCGCCGGTCTGTTTCTCTGGGGTCCTGCCAGTCGTCCACAGAGCTGCCGCCTGTCATGTCAGGAGCCGAGTACCTGCACCTGGCAGACCCTGTACCTGCGGGAAGAGCGGGGAAAGGACGTGGTCTCATCTGGCTTCCAAGTCCCCTGGGTCCTGGAAAAAATCAAACACAAATGATAGTTGAGGTCAGGGTAAAGGTTAAACAGTTCCAAATAGTTAGATTTCAAAGCAGTCCGTGAGCTTTTGGATTAGTGAAGATCCTGGGAGTGAAAGGCATCTACATAGCTACATCTTAATTCTTAACCTCAGTAATCAGCTTGAATTTCCTTTCTGCTTCCGGAGCTGCTCCCCTCCGGTCCCTGCCCCTCTTTTATCTTAGGCTCCGTTTTCCTTTACCTTGAAAGAAAGCTGCAAGGTGCATAAGGAGTTGACTTATTCGCGGCTTTCTATAATTTATTTTGAAGCAGTTACCTTTGAATCCTTGGAAATAAGATCAGAACAGGGCAGGGAACAGTCTGTCATGTAGAGCTTCACAGTAGTGTCTCTTGACATTTCGAGCTGGATGCATAATTTTTTGCTGTTGGGGATGGGGAGCTGCAGGTGCATCGCAGGATGCTTAGAAGGATTCCTGGCCTCTGCTCACTAGAACCCACCCACCCCACCCCCAGTCACCAGTTGAAACCTATTGCCATAATGCAAAGAGCATTAGCTTTGGAGCGAGATATGTGGAACTTAATTGTGAACTTTCTGCCACTTACCAGCTTGATCTTGAATTACTTTCTAAACCTCTCTGAGCCTCGGTCCCCTCTTTTCTAAAATGTAAATAATACTACTTTGTAGTTACAAGGATTAATATGTACAGCCTTGCAAATAAAAGGAGGTATTCAACAAATGTTAGCTGCTTTCTTGTAAGACTCCATCTCAGAAGAGCTGGGTATCTGGGAATTCAGGCTTAAGGGAGTAAGTAAGGAGACAAGGAAAGGGAAATAAACCAAAAACCCAGTTATAGTAACACCTGAACCCCTGGCTCCCTAAGACCTAGGGGAGGGAGACAATTAGATTCAAAATTTGAGGAATGTGGGAGTGTGTGGCCCCCAACAACAAAGATCGTTTAGAAGGATACAGGGGCAGAGACAGATGTTACCCAAGGAACAAAAACTCCTTCCTAACTATTGCTTGAAATTTCTAAGACCATGAAGACTTTTATTCCACTACTAGCAGCTAGAAAATACCTTGCATATAACAGTCCTCCAGTAAGCATTTGTTAAATTTAATTAGAGCTGAAGCTTAAAGGGCAAACACCCATGGGAGAGGTAACACAGTGACTTCATTCATGTGAAATCTACTTATAAAAGTAGATTTTAGGATGAAAAGTAAATTTTTCTCTGAAGTGGGAAAGGAGCTCGATGATCGGGAGAGGACAGCAAAAGCGTTCTGAAGACAACAACACTGTCTGGTATCCAACCCTGTCTAATGCCATTCTCATTTTATTTCTCTTTAAAGTATTTTGTTCCAATTCTTTCAAGAATGCGTGCACAATAGGGTCTACTTCTCTCCAATTTTAGCAGTGAACATATTATCATAAGTGCAATTTAATTTGTACTTTGCTTTTACTCTATATATGTAAACAAGAGAGAAGATACTTTCTGGTTGCTATTCCCAGGAGATAATTTATGATCATGGGCAGATGCACACAGCTGGTATGAGCTTACTGTAGAGTAAGCTCCCAAGAACACCTTTCCATTGGGGGAATCACCACCAGCTACATTGGCCTTGGAGAGTAGGCATTTTGAAGACCTTTCGTTGAATATATAAAAATGAATTTCACATTGTTCAGAAATTATTGCAATGCTATATTTCTGTTATAGGTATTTAGAAATCTGTATATCTGCATTTTGGAAGAAAAATTGTTTTCTCCCCTAATAAATTGGCTTGCTTTCACTATGGGTTTCCCTTTATGTCTTAGCTGACAGGAAACTCAAAATTATGATTTGTGCTCAGTTGCAATAATTATTCATAGAAAAGTTTTAAATTTATCTCTTCAATTCCCTTTAGTAGGAATGTGGCTTTTAGCCTTCTACTCTTATTTTAATGATTCAATTAGACCTGTCTTATTGGATGCACTCTAAGCCCTTTGGAAATGGGGGTATAAATAAACTATATATTAAATATAACATATAGTCTAATACATATAATGTGTTTTTTATTTATTATATTCTATTATACATTATTTTTAAACATATTATTATTTAATCTATATCTTTATAGATGACCCTTAGTCTCATAATTCAGAGAGTTCTAGAATTTGTCTGTCTAGGCATGCTTAACATCATCAGTGAAAATTACCCAATAAATGCAGTAAAAGCAACAAGAAGCAAAAGGTCAAGACAATTTGGGTGATATTGTCTCATTTTCTCTCCTCCTAGTTCCCTCTCTTCTCCTACTCCTCCATTATCACAGGAAGGGGGAATGTGATCCTGGCCTGACAGAATATTCCCAGCCAACTGGTTTCAGCGACTGATTCGAAGGTGGGTGTGGGACCCTAGTCAGCATCCCACCCTATCAGCGTCCTCCCTGGGACTTAGCAGCTAGAGCTATTAGTATTGACTTTTTCTGCTGCATCTGCTAAGCTGGGAGATATGAGTTTTGGGCTACTGGTGGCTGTCTTGCTCCCTGTGGGAAGCATGTGTCCAACATATGAGAAAGAGAGAGAGAGAGAGAAACATTCTGAAGACATTAGAGAAGCATTCTGAAGACATTATTTTACCCACAAATATAACTACGGTTGAAATGAGCAATGCCTCTGGGCCTACCAGTTATATGAGCCAATAAATTTTTTTGCTGTCACTTGCAATGACAGAGCATTTGCTATATATTTGTAGTATTTCATACTCCAAGACTCTAAGACTTATCTTTTACCACATCCCCTTCCAATGTAAATTCCCAAGAAGTGTAAAAAGCTGTTAAGCAAGAGATGTCAGAGGCAGGTATATCCCAGAACATCCTTTCTCTCATGTGGGGTTTTGGCAATTCATATGTTAGTGATCACTCACAGTGTGTCTGGTATCCAGGTCCTGCTGCTCTCGCTCGGAAACAAAAGACTCATCATTCTCAAATGTTGGTACAAGGCAAGAAGTTTATTATCAGATGTCTGAGGAGACAGACTAGAACTGTCTCCCTGCTCTAGGGCTTCAGGGGGGCGGGGGTTAAAGTGGAGCTGAGAGAATGGAACGTGGGAAATGAAAGCAGGAGGGGGGAGGACGTGCAAGGGGCCAGGTGCAGTCTCATCAAGACTCCTTCTGGTCTCTGCTCCTGTCCCTGTTGTTATCTCAGGGTCCTGCTGGAGGGGTGGAATCAGCATAGCTCTACTGATGTCTTCCTTGGTTTCCCTTGGATACTACCTGCAAATCTGCAGTTCCAGGCTGACTGGAAAACAACTTTACATTCATGTAAATAATGTCACTTTGCCCCATAACCAAGGTTCAAAATATCAAATCACCATGGGAAAAGAGAGAGCTCAGAGAGAAGGAAGCCAAAAGAAGGCTGCTATCAAACAAGTTACCACTGCGGGCAAGTGGAGCTCAGTCCCACTGGCGAACCCTGAGGAACAGTCCACAGCCCGTCAGAGCTATCTGCCCGCCATCTACCAACAGTCCTTGACTGAGGCTGATAGGGGCCTTACCTGGCTTACTTCGTGGCCTTCTGACCTGCCCTGGAGGCAGTTAAAGAGGGCTTCAGTGTTCAAAAAAAGCACTAGACACTGAGGTGCAGGTACTGGCTGTTGGAAATCGGGATTGGCATCGAGGAAGTGGCAAGGGCTGAGGGGACGCGGGCTGAGCATCAACAGTGTCTGTTGCCTGGCAACATGGGTCATTCAACATACATTTACTCTTCGTATTTTTAAATGTTATTATTAAGTGATCTTTAGGCTCTTTTCAAATTGAATACACCTGGCACAGAGAAGGCATTTGTTGCGAACACCTGTTGCTTCTATCTGCCTGGTATTCTTTCCTTTTCCTTCCTGTGGGAAACGCATCCCAATGTCCTTTGGGTGATATTGTCTCATTTTCTCTCCTCCTAGTTCCCTCTCTTCTCCTACTCCTCCATTATCACAGGAAGGGGGAATGTGATCCTGGCCTGACAGAATATTCCCAGCCAACTGGTTTCAGCGACTGATTCGAAGGTGGGTGTGGGACCCTAGTCAGCATCCCACCCTATCAGCGTCCTCCCTGGGACTTAGCAGCTAGAGCTATTAGTATTGACTTTTTCTGCTGCATCTGCTAAGCTGGGAGATATGAGTTTTGGGCTACTGGTGGCTGTCTTGCTCCCTGTGGGAAGCATGTGTCCAACATATGAGAAAGAGAGAGAGAGAGAGAAACATTCTGAAGACATTAGAGAAGCATTCTGAAGACATTATTTTACCCACAAATATAACTACGGTTGAAATGAGCAATGCCTCTGGGCCTACCAGTTATATGAGCCAATAAATTTTTTTGCTGTCACTTGCAATGACAGAGCATTTGCTATATATTTGTAGTATTTCATACTCCAAGACTCTAAGACTTATCTTTTACCACATCCCCTTCCAATGTAAATTCCCAAGAAGTGTAAAAAGCTGTTAAGCAAGAGATGTCAGAGGCAGGTATATCCCAGAACATCCTTTCTCTCATGTGGGGTTTTGGCAATTCATATGTTAGTGATCACTCACAGTGTGTCTGGTATCCAGGTCCTGCTGCTCTCGCTCGGAAACAAAAGACTCATCATTCTCAAATGTTGGTACAAGGCAAGAAGTTTATTATCAGATGTCTGAGGAGACAGACTAGAACTGTCTCCCTGCTCTAGGGCTTCAGGGGGGCGGGGG